TAACGATACCGTCTTGTCTGGATGTACCCGTGATCCGACCAAGTTTCAGCACAACGGAGGAGTGGGACTACGAATAAGGACCAACGTATCTACCATTAGGTTTGTTTTACCGGCTGACCATTTCACCGAAGTTGAGTGTCTGTAGATATTCGTTTTTCCAACGTTTCCAAAAGTGTGTGTGGATTTCCGAAATTAGTCTCCAGCGCTTATAATGAGACGTTGGGACGTTGTCTAAGTTTGGTTCAACATTGGCAGTGCTGGGCATCAGTGTAAGGAAATGACTGGGCGTTAGTGCGTCGAAGTCTAATGGATCAGGACTGAGTGCACTTAATGGTCGTGAGTTTAGTGTGGCTTCGATCCTAGTTAAAAGAGTACTGAGTTCTTCGTACTTGAGTCGATGAAGACCGATACTTCTATGAATTAGTGTTTTTGTTGACTTCACTCCAGCCTCCCAAAGACCTCCGAAGTGAGGTGCTGATGGCGGGTTGAAGTGCCAGGTGATGTTGCGCGTTGTGAGGAAATCCCTACACTTTTTTTGGTGTTCGGCGGATTGAGTGAATTTGTTCACTGTTTCGAACAACTTGGATGCACCTACAAAGTTGGTGCCACAATCACTATGCATCTGTTGTATTGGGCCTCGGCGTGAAATAAATCGACTGAAGGCCATCAGAAATGTCTCAGTAGACAAGTCGGAGGCAAGTTCAAGATGTAGCGCCTTTGTTGCCATGCAGACGAAAAGACATATGTATGCGTGGCATGAGTCTGTGCGGCGTGTTGGTGACGATTTTAACACAATTGGACCAGCGTAGTCGACTCCGACTGCGGTGAACGGCTTCACTTGCTGTAAACGGAATTTGGGCAAATTTCCCATTACGGGCTGAACTCCTCGTGGACGAATTCGGTAACAGGCAATACAGTGACGGAGACGGGATTTTATAACTTGGCGACTGGCTATAATCCAATATTGTTGCTGAATGATGCATTGTAGCGTTTTAGCTCCCGGGTGCTTGTGTTGATGGTGGACGTTGTCAATGAGCAAATCGGTAAGTCGGTGCGTCTTCGGTAAGAGAATCGGGTGCTTTTGCTCGTACGGAAGATCTGCGTAAGTCAGACGACCTCCAACCCGAATGGTTCCGTGGTTATCAATAAATGGATTCAAGCCACGTAGCTTGCTAGTGCCTTGATGAGTAGGATCACGGAGCTGCATGAATTCATCAGCGAACGTTTGTTTTTGCACAGCGAGTATAATGACCTCCAGCGCGTTGTTTAGTTCAGTGGTTGATGGCTCGATTATGGTTGGTTTGATGTTCGCAAAAACTCGTTTACAATATGAGATGATACGAATGATTTTTTGTAAAGACGAATGTCGAAGAAAGAGGCTGTCGAAGAAGGTCGTTGTCGGGGTTATAACGAGGACTGTGGTGCGTGCTTCTAAATCTGTGACAGTCGAAGCAGACGATGATGGCCACGTACTTTGATGTTGTGCCAAGAACGCGGGTCCATTCCACCACATTGGATGTTTTAGGAGTTCCGTAGGGTAGAGTCCACGAGACGCGCAATCCACTGGATTTTCACTGGTTGGAACATATCGCCAAAGTGATGGTGGCGTGAGGCTTTGGATTTGGCTGGTTCTGTTTGCAATGAACGTCGCCCATCGATGTGGAGATGATTGAATCCAGGCCAAAGTGGTCGTCGAATCAGTCCAAGCGTGCATGGCGTCAATAGATAGTAGTTTTTTTAAAAGTTCGTACACATAATTCAATAGTTGAGCTGCCAATACTGCACCACACAGTTCTAACCGTGGAATAGTTACTCGTTTTAAAGGTGACACCTTGGATTTTGCAGTGATGAGATTGCACGTAACTTGGTTATCAGTTTCACAACGTAGGTACACTGCGGCTGCATATCCCTTTTCGGAACTGTCTGAGAAGACGTGGAATTCGTATTGAGTTACTCCTTCAGTGGTAATTCGTCGAGGAATCTTCAGATGTTGTATGCATTGAATTTCGCTTTGATACCTCTGCCACATTGTGCGCACCTGTTCGGGAACAGGATCATCCCATCCGACTCCTGATGTCCATAGTAACTGCATCATGTGCTTTGCCAAGAAGGTGACAGGTGAAAGAAAACCGAGCGGGTCAAAAATGCGTGCTAGATCTGACAGGATCGAGCGTTTAGTTGTACTTGCCTGTGGACACTGAAAGGTGTAAGAGAAATGATCTTGTTTCGGATTCCATTGCATCCCGAGGATTTTTAGCCCAGCCTCCAGTTCATCATTGAATAGTACATCAGTTGACATGGAACGTTCATTTTCCGACACAGCCTGAAGAATCACGGGAGAGTTGCTAGCCCATTTCCGAAGTTGAAATTGACCTTGGTTGCATAGAGCGATTAATTGTGATTGTAGCACTAGAGCTGCGTCCGGGGTATCAGCACCTGTGAGTATGTCATCTACAAACGTATCTTGCATGAGGATCTGAGCTGCTAAAGGGAATTTTGTCTCTTCGATTTTCGCTAGGTGTTGTAAGGTTCGCAATGCCTGATGAGGAGCCGAAGATGTATCATACGTGACTGTACAGAGACGGTATGTTGTAATTGGTTCATCAGATTCAAATCGCCAAAGAATCCGTAAATAATCACGATCTTCAGCACGAATTTCAATTTGTCTGTACATTTGCTTTATGTCAGCTGTGAACAGAACTTTGTGGACTCGGGCACGGATCAAAATTCGTGGCAAGTCCTGTTGAAGCTTGCGACCAGTGTATAAGTTTACATTGAGTGATTGTCCCGCAGTAGTCACAGCAGATGCATCAAAGACGACTCGGAGTTTCGTTGTTTTACTCTCAGGACGCATGATGCAGTGGTGGGGGATGTAGTAGCAATATGGAGTTACTCTTTGATTCATCGGGACCAATTCCATATGTTGGCTTGCAAGATAATCTCTCATAAACTCCTTGTATTGTTTAGAAAGGTCTTCATTTTGTGATAATCGGTGTTCCAGAGACCGAAATCGTGTTTGAGCCATGCTATAAGAATCACCGAGGATTGGATGAGGGTGTTTCAATGGTAACGCGATGCTAAAACGACCCGACGCCAACCGCTTCACCGAGGACGTGAATATTCTTTCAGCGTGCACTTCGTCAGGGCTCAAATGATGTATATGAGGTGGCTCTTCCATCTCCCAGAATTTTGACAAAGATTGTTCAAGTGTCGTTTCAGTGGTGACTAACATTGACGTGACTGTTTTGGGTGGCGTTGCTGCCGTTGGTCCCATCAACACCCATCCAAATACAGTGCCAAATGCCGTTGGGTGATGCTGATGACCAGAAATGCGGGCACCGGTGAAGATACTTGGTGCAACGTCTGCACCGAGCAAGATATCAACGTGCCCTGGAGTGTGGAAAGTTGGATCTGCCAACTCTAGTTGATTTATGTGAGGCCACGATACTGCATGAAGAGGTTCTTGAGGTGTAACATCTGTGATCTTCGACACAATAAGAACATCGAGAGAAATCGATGGTTCAGATTGGTTTACTGGTGATATTGTGATTGTAGTCATTCCGGACACCACGTTAACCCGGCTGCCTGAGAACACGCTGATTTTTGTGGTGCAACGTCGGCGGGTCACAAAGAGGCGATCGGCACACTGCTTTGTGATGAAACTAACCTGAGATCCAGTATCTAATAGTGCTCGCAGAGTATGGTTTTGGTTAGCGCTTGATGGGACACTGACGAGTAATGTTGAAAGTAAGATCGACTGAGATCTTTGAGTCGCAGTGAACATCGTAGTCGCGTTTGGAATAATATCACCCATGGTTGTATTGTCTGGGAAATGCAGAAGCGTATGATGCTGTTTCTTACATGTCATGCATGTATGCTTTGATGGACATGCCGCTAACGTATGCCCAGATCCCAAACAATTGATGCACAACTGAAGCTTCTTAGCCGTTTGGAATCGTTCACTTGGACTTTGGCTATCGAAGATTGCACATTTTCGCACTGAATGGGCTTGCTTACATAGAAGGCAGCTAGTGGTTAAGCTCGACGTAGCTTTGGCGGTTGTCACAAGAACTTTGGATGTTGCTGTTGGACGAGAACCTTTTGACGGTGGAGGTTTAGATTTTATTCGTACTGAGTCAGCAACACCTGAATTGACTGGAGAGTAGTGTCCCGATCGCGCTTCGGCTGCCCGCACATGACTACGTAGAAAATCAACAAATTCAGTCAACTGCGGTTGGTGCCTGTCTCCAAGGATCAACTCCCAACGAGCCCGAAGTTCATAGTCAAGATGTTGCTCAAATATATGAACTAAAATTGGACTCCACTGACGAGTCGTGAGGTTTAAGTTGTCTAATGCTGCGGTGTTTTTCAGGATTGAATTGATCTGTGATTGAATTGAAAACGCATCGGTTGACGAAACTGTGTGTGGGGCGAGTAGAGCTTGAATGTGGATTCTTGCCAAGTCCCTCTTGTTCCCGTATCGAGCTCGCAATATTTCCCACGCACTGTGGTAGTTTGCGGACGTTAACGGAAGATGGGCTATGACTGTCTTCGCATCACCTTGAAGAGACGTTTTCAGAAACTCAAATCGTTCTACGTCTGGAAGATCTGGGGCATGTGACATAATGGAATTGAACAGGTCATCGAAACCTTGCCACTCCGTTATGATGCCAGAAAAGATCGGAAACGTTCGTTTTGGCAGTTGGTAGTGAGATACGTTTGGTGCTCCATTATTGATGGTTTTGTTTAAGCTTGTTGACAAAGATTGATCCAGAACAGGTGATAGAGAGATTTTTTGTACGTCTGCAAAGGCAGCAAGTTCGTAATACAGATTATCGAATTTGGCAGCGAGTGTGCGGCTATCGGCTGTATCTTTGACGTCAGTTGGGGCAGTACCATGGCTGACCGCGTTTTCCATGTACTGGATATCCTCTTCAACCTTTCGACGGATATCGTTGAGTTCTCGAAGCATCTGCTCGATTTTGGCCCGTTTTCCGGTATTTTTCATGTCAGCCTTAAAATCACCAGCCGCCGAAATGAACGAGGTGATTCGGTCGGTGTTTCGGATGACACGGGCCTTTGCTTCAACGTATCCAGCGGAGGCGGAAGCGTCATGATGATTTGAGTAGTATTTTTTTTTTTTTTTTTTTTTTTTTTTTAACTTCAGTAGTTGAAACGATACCAGCTGTCAAGAATCACTGGTATGGATGTTGATGGACAATATGAGACAGGGTCACGTGGTTTGTCTTGTGAACATCCGGCTCGAAGGACCAAAAAATGTTTGATTTAAGAAAAGGTTAAGGTGTCGCAATGACAAAGCATAACAGTTTAAGTTTTTCCGGTTTAGTTGTCGTAATGACAATATTTTAATAAAATGTCGCAATAACGAAACACAATAGAAAACATGTAACTTACAATTATTAGTTGATTGTACAGATTAAAATAAACAAGAAACGCATAAAAGAATACCGCACTGTCCGAGCTTAAATGCAATGATGATCGCACTGACGGGAAACGACGGAGGAATCAAGTTGGACTGTTTAACAGTCGAGACAATGCCTGAATAGCTCTGACTATTGTCCCATTGACTGTGGGCGGCCGATCCAATGCCGGAATACTTCCAACTATTGAACCACTGGACGCGCACCACAACAGTCCAACAAGATCCGTCAGGGAAGTCCTTACCAACAATTGCGTAAGTCTGCCTGGTAGGTCTTAATACAATGCTGGTAAGGAATGTCTGTCGCTGGTCGTGCGGCCTTTTTATATTTGGTTATCGGCGATTGCAACCCCAGTCCGGTCCTGCCAAGTGTTCAGACAAAGACACGAAACCGTGAAATTGCAATTGCCGATAAACGGAGTTAGAATAATACAGATACATAGATACATGATACTGATAGTGATAACGAGATAAATATGGACTTGATTTCGTCAAACACGTTGATACACAGGATGAAAAGAATGTGCACTTAGATGTAAACAAAATGCAGCCTGATAGGTTGTCTCCAAAATCAAGTACCATTTCAAGCGGACTAAAAATATTTGAACCTATCGTATAAGTGGTGGCTACCTGATAGTGATACCGGAACAATGCGTTGTAAACATTTTGTTATGCGATCTTATGAACTCTACCCTGAGAGATTCTGACTCTTCCTTTGTCGTGTTTGACTTGTGATTTCACGGTTGAAATTGGTGTCTGATTGTTTTTAAATTTGAATTCGTTTGTTGAAATTATTACCAAAGTTTGCAGTAATACTATTTCGTAAAACTTTTTATAGTATTTATATTATCAAATTTACTTACAAAATTGTACACCCATCATATAAAATGACTATTTGCAGTCATCAAATTTGCAACAATAAAATGTCACAAACAAAACATAGCTACTTCAGATTTCAAAAGCGACCAATTGAGGAGTTATTGAATTTGTTTTATACTCATGGTATATGCATTATAATTTAATGTATTAATTTAATTTTAGGTGTAAACAATGATGGAAATTGTCACACTGTAAATTTGTTAAAAAGATCCTGCTATTTGCTACAAAATTACAGAGTGTGTGGTGTCTATTTTGAAGACAATATGTTTTAAATCCAAGTAGCAGGAACCGTCTTACAATGAATGCCGCCAGCCAACAATATTTAGTGGTAAGATTTTGTTTACTAAAATTAATATTTTTATTACCCGTGAAAATTATTCTAATTTGCTTTGCTTTTGCTTTTGCTTTTCTGTAAGCTACACGGCTGAGTATTTACAGATAGTTCAGCTACCAAAATTTACCAACAAAGTGATTGATGAAATTATTATACATTTTTCTTCTTGTAAAGTTAGCTAGTTAGATTTTTAGTTTAGTTTAACTTCGCAATAATTGTAAATTATTTAATTTAATTTACTAAATAAAATGTATTTTGGCTGTCAATGTTATGATTTTCACCGCATCTACCAATGCCTATGCAAATTTCAATTTGAACTACTCTTTAATATATTAAAACAAAAATATAATTTATAGCTAGCTATTGTATGAGAGAGAAAAGAAAAGGTCTGATAGAAGAAAAGGAAAGAAATTGAGAAGAAAGGGAAATGTAAGAATTCGAAACCGTGGCTGTAATGGTTTACATGTTCCAGTCCATCATATTCATTATCTTACAGTGATAATGTCCGGATAATGTATATACAAATGCCGTGATGTGTTCAGTTGCTCTTCCGTTTAGTAAGCTGCAAGTATCTACTAGTGATTCATCCTGCCAAACTCCACTTTCTATCTAACTAACAAAACTCAAGAAAATTGAAATTGGCAAACGAATCTTCAGTCCAAAACAAAGAAATTAAAGAATGAAAAACAAATTAATGCCATAACTCAACAATTAGTACAAGTAAATACTAAGTTGAACAAATGTTATCGCCATGTAAGAAGTTTTACCTTGTCGTTTTTAATTATTAATACGCGCTGCTAATCGTAGATACAAAGCAGTTGGGTATAGGATAGTAATGAATTTAAACAACAGTTCTTACTATTTATTTTTGGGACCAAGGTGTATAAGTTTTTGCAATCAATCTTGCCTGTTTAATCCATAAAGTCACTAATACGTGTACAAAATTATGAATATAACCATGTCATTATGATTTATTATTTAATTTTTACAATTAAAATACAACATTTTTACCTGAATCATTAGAATCGTGTGTTAGTTGATGAAATGTCCATAAAGTAATTTATTTTATAACAGGCGGTGATGAATATTAGATTTAATGAAACAAACAATCGTAAATGTATGATCCACGCTAAATTTGTACTTTGTATTAATGATTCAAGGCGTAATTTTAATTACTGAAGAACCAATTAGACTTATTTCGTTGTTTCTGAAATAGTTGTATTAGGTTTTGATTTTAGACTATAATTTAACCAGTATTTAAACTGAAATATTAAACTTATGTTAAAGCGTATTTGATTAGTGATATGGTTCCAATTTCTATAGTCTATCAAGACTTCTAATCTCTGTTTATTTCATTTGTGAGTCACTAAAAGTTATTAATACTGATCGAAAATTGATGCTTTGTAATACAAACCGAATTAACCAAGATAGGTTGGAAAATTTATGTTGGCAATTGCACTCAACATAATGGAAGCACATATTAACTAACTCCCATAATATCTTGCTAATATTTAAACAAATTTTGTCTTAAATTATTTTATACTATTCAGAGAATAAAATTGTATAGTAGACTTACTGAATTTACTGTAATAAAGACTGATATTTTAATGATCGAAACCATAAAATATCTAAGATAAAAATCCATTTAAATTTAAAAATACACTTACAATAGATACCCAGATTATAGAAATTTATCTATGCATTAGTAAAATGCTTATACATGTTTGTGGGTTTAATGAAAATGTAAAAACATATTGTGAAGTTTGTATTCATTAGCAAAATCACAAAACAAATTGATGAGTTTTCTTACTTGTTATTTAAAGATGAAAATTCAGAAATGTCAGGTATGGAAATTTAATGATGCGCAACATGACTTTCTGACAATTATATAGATGAGTTAGAAAACATTTTTATAAATAGGTTTCCACTAAATAGTATTGAATGAAATAGTGAATAGTTAGCTACAGATCAATGTTGTATTTCGACATCCGTAGTCCACTGTTTAATAGAATATTTAATTAATCTATTTTATAAGGTTTAGATTCATGCTGCTAATTAAATTTTAAATAAAATTTAATTTCAGAAACAAAAATAGAAGTTATGTATTTTAAATCATTTATAGATTAATTATAGATAACTGGCGTTTTAAATTTATAATATGTGTTAATTTAATTGTTTATATTAAAAATTGTTAGTTTTAGTTTACCATATATTATAACATTATTTAATTGTCATTATATTGTTGGTATCATGATATCAATTAAATTATTTGTGCAAAATATTTTACTGTTTCTCGTAATTACAGCATCAGTTCGAATAACTTGTGTTGTAAAGTTCACGGTTTAATTCAAATTTCAAAAATGGTGCGGTGTATATACAATTAATTCATAAGCGTTAGTTGTCACACTGATTTGGGAGCCTCAATCAAAGTATTCCATTCTTTTTACATTGCAACATACGAAGTGCACAATCTGTTTTCATATAATCTGTGGTTTCTCCAACAGCCGTCGTTATCGGTTCGGTTATTGCTCATTTGCTCATTACTCATTATTATTGTTTTTATATACTGTTTATTCCGCTTTTCGCCCGCTTTTCGCCCGGTTTTCCGGCCCTTCGAGACCTCTTTCCGTCGCGGTCTCGACGCTATATTCCGGAGCGGGTCTTTTCGTCCCGTCCGTGCGTCTCCGAATTCCGTTCGCGGCCGTCGTCGTCGCCGTCGAGTCCGGAAAACGCGTTCTCCTGTCGGTCGTCATATCGTCACTACTGTTTTTTTTTTTTACGATACGATAAATCGTTTATCTGTATCGAATACGCGTCGTTTTGTTTTCGGTGTCTCCACCCTCGGACGCCTCCGCGAACTCATCAGTACTGTCTCGACAGCGTACTAAATACAATTATGTGTATAAAAAGAAACGCGCGTCAGGTTTAACAGATTCTCATGTGTATTACAAAAACAGATCACGAGAGTCTTGCTCTCGAGTCGTTTTAATACTTTTAATCGCATACGTTTGGGGCGATATCGTGATATGTGTTTGTTATAACAAACTTGGTACGTCAATAAGACGTATACGATTAAATAATGTAGTTGAATATGTCGGAAACACTATAAACGACAATAAATATGCGATTTACGGTTTCGTGACACGCGAATCGTAAAAATTGTATCGGTTAAACGACGTATAATGTAGTATTCGTCGCATCTCTAAAACTGTTTAAGTACTCGGAACTATTTGATATAGTAACGGTTGTGTTCCACGAGAATCTTATAAAATTTTAAGATTTCGTTATTTTAAAATGTTAAGAACTAATGTACTAGCTATTTGAAACAAATAATCTCATATTGGTTATTATGGAA